TATCTCTATTATGCTATGTTTTCTGCCTTTGTTATAATTTAAATAACAGTTCTTTTATAAATAGCATAAAAAGTATGTATCTCCTTCCTATAAAACTATGGACTGTGCTTTACTCAGAACACTTGTAATCAATTTTATTAAAGCAGAGATTAATTGTTTCCTTCATTGCTGACATTAGCAGGCWATGTATGGAGGAAAGATTTTTTTTAACTGTCAAGAAAGTTTTCAAAATAAATGCAGCATATAGGTAATAGGGATCTATTCAATCATATACRTCATCAAGAAGGAAATGGAGAGGTTTTTGCTTTTTCCAATAAAAAAAATAGGTCACCTTGAATGAACCGAGTTGGTGATAGATTCAAAACAAACAAAAGGAAATGCCTTTTCCTGCAGCATGTTGTTTAGCTGTGGAAATGTGTTAGATTGTACATTTGCATGTTTTGTATAGATTCAGAAAGTAATTGATCTAATTGAAAGAGGAAATGTCATGCTTCCTGAGTGCTCTGTTGTGAGAGCCAAAGTATGCTGAACTTGGAAAACATTTGTTCTCTCTGGGAGAGTGGGAGTAAATCAAGACAATTCTGAATCATTTTCCATTAAAGTCAAGTATCCCTTTATTTTATTTTTTTAACAAAGACCAGTAATTTAAAAGTGGAACTTTTGTAATTATACATTGGAAATGAACTATGAAATGTTTAGATAGTCATCATCTTAACTGTAGTGTATGTAYTCTTAATGTAGTGGCATGGTTAACTTTAAGAATTGTAGAGAAACTACTGTGAGAAAAGTTAATACTTTTTCCTCATTTTAATCCTTTTAAACTACTATTACATAATTTGCTTAGAATTTTTTTTCTTGGTTGACAAATGTTGTATATCTGGTATTTCCACAGCTGTGTTCAGCATTACTCCTTTGAGAAAATCAGTTGTCTTGTGGAAAAAAATAACTCAGCTTTTATATATTTTCCCCTATGAATTACTATCATGAAGAGTTCCCATAGAGAAACATGGATCTACTTTAGCAATAGCACATGTAAACCTACAGTTGTTGTGCACTCACAATGCTACATACACACTTGGAATGAAAATTCCTTTTTCTGACTTCAGCAGAACTGCTTAAAAGAAGAAAATGAAGTTTTGTAAGTACACTATTATCTAGTCTTGATAACTTAGTGCATGTTAATACAAATAAACTGAATCAGAAGCTATGAATTAGCTAAATATTTACATTGAACAACTGYCTGGAGCTCTATATCCTGCACCAAGAATTAAACACAAATGAAATAAAAATTCCACCAGACCACAGTAATCCTGTAATCAGTGGCTACGGGAAATGCCCTACATAACAACAGATGACTAAAGACAAAATTTAGAGTAAAGTAAAAGCTTTTTAATGTGAACCTTTTAAATAACGTGATTGTGAAAGTTTGAATTTACTTTGATTCATAAATCCATGAAAAAGGTCAATTTATTGATGTCTCAAAAAGTATGGAAGAGTATTGCTCTGGAGAGTTCATTCAGCTCGTGAGTATTTAATCACTTCTTATAGGAGTTACGGTTGGCAGAGTCATAGTTTAGGGTTTGATTCTTGTCTTTTATCATTAATAAGAGAAAAGAASGGCTTCTTAATGCCCCAGCACTGAGTCCAGTATATACTGTAGTAGGAACTAACTACCTTGATCATAATATCCAGCATATGTTGGTGTATTTTTGATCTCCAGTAGTCAAGAAATAGCTACTGCAATCTGAAACCTCACTGGGATGACAGGATAGCAACATGAAAATAAATAAAAAATGACTTCTTGTCACCATTCYAGCTGAGCTTAGCAGGTAGCTTTTTAGATTCCCAGCTATGGTTATTGATGAAAGAGAGATCTGTGGAAATGAGAGTCAAACTTTACTTCTAGGTTCAGGCAATGACTGGAATACAGTAATTCATGTGTGCCCCGAGGGCCTGTGTTTCCCAGAGGACCATACAAGTGGGTATTTGTAATGACAAGAGGTAAAGCAGCGAGCAGTGGTCCAGCCCCCCTTCCATTGTCAAGCAAGATTCCTCAACCATCACTTGTATTTTGCAGGCTTCTGGCAAACTCAGGGGCAAGCTTGCCCAGTTCATTGGTGGGAATGTTCAGGGTACACTTGACTGCTGACAAGAGGCCCCTGTGATTCATGCAAATAAACTTTTTAGCAATGACAAGGCTGTGGATTGGGAAAATGTGTAAACTGTGTTCAAAGGCTAATAATGGCCATGTGCACAACTGGGCGCAGCAGCAAGCAAACCAGGCTATCTGTAAAGTACATAAGAGTGTAAGAGCAGCTGCACTGGATCAGATCAGAGTTSGTCTATTCCAGTCTCTCTCACAAGGACCAAAAATAGTTCCCCAGAAAAGGGTATTGCAGTTCATGATGCTGTTTTGTTTTTGGTTTCCTTAAAACAGATTGAACTGTGATTTTAAAATGGCTGCATTTCATTTCTTCCTCAGATTGACTTTGAGGCAATTTGCTTTTCTTCTGCTGTTTCTTATCAAAACATTATGCTTTTATTTGAAGTTTTAAGTTAAAAATACAGTTACTGCTTGGAAAAGCTGATACTATAATGCTAACATGTCTGTTGGTCTAGTGTTGCTTTACTCTCTGCTGTAGTTTCAGCATCAGAAATAGATGATACATTGTCATAAATTCTTACAGCTTGACCAGAAATGTTTTATGTAGCRTACTCACCTATATACGTTCTTTTAGATGTGTTTAATGGTATCTGAGTGTTTCCTCCAAGGTAATAGGGTGATATAATAACTGTTAAAACTTGTTCATCTTATATCCTACATATGGGAGATGTTTTGAAATGTTCTGATATTTTATCTTTATTTCTTGAGCTAGAAAAGAGAAAGGAGAAAACAGTGCTAAGTCTTTATATGTTTATCCTTTTGATGTTTTGATGTGGAAAAAATTGTCTTCAAGCAAGGATCTGTAAATGCATAGTAACCCTTGGATATTAGCAACATGAATGCATGTATTTCATTGATTCTCAGCATAGTGTTCATAATAATATTGTAAAATAACTGTKTGCCTGCATTAGTATAAAAATTGTGGAAAATATTAGTTTATTAGAAAATTAATAAGCTAAATGCATTTTGATCAAATGATTATTCCAGATTTCTTTATGTGGGGAGAAGAAGATCTGTTTAATACATCTTAGAGTTTTGTAATTGACGTCTTCCCTACTTTTAGATGGAAAATGTGTTCCAACATTTTTCCACAATATTTGGGCTTTGCAACTATACAGAAGTTGTTGACATCATTAAACCAGATCTCTTATTCCACATCTGCTGTTTTTTCCCCATTTAAAATGGTCTGCAGTGTGCCAAGAGAAATAAAATCAAAGCCTTTTCCCTTGAAATAGTTTTTTGCAGTTAATGGTARCTAGTTGTAATAGAAGGGTAATATTGCTAAATAAGGAATAACACCAGGGATGTCTTTTGTTCATCAGAAAACACTAACGTATGTCTTTCAAATGAGACAACCTTATGATTAATTAGCCTTTTTGGATAGGTGCTTGTAACTAAGAATACTGTTGTGCAGGTTTTGCTCCAGATAAGGCCAGGGGAGCRTGTTCAATTGTTCTGTTCTGACTGGAACCTTAAATGTTTCCAACATAGCTACTCTAGAAGTAGGTCTCTTTAAAGCTCTGCACTCTCTCCAAAGTAGACTTTTTTTCCTGAGGGTAAAATGTTCTACCAGAAGGTCATGGTATGGTTCTGAATCCCTTAGAGCAGTGATTTGAACTGAATTTATATTTTTCAAAACAGGATAAATAATTTGAGCAATGAGTGGCTATATAAACTTATTTTTTAAAAAGTGTTAATACTGCAAATTTGTTGTTGCTTTCTGCATTTTGAATAGAGCTGACCTGCAGTTGATCCTATTTCAGACTGTCAAYCTGAAAAGGATACAAGAGATATAGGCAGCTACCGGCAGTGTTAGGTGTCTACATCTCCAAATAAGTAGCGATTTTCATGAATTACCTTAAGAAGTTTCTGATTTCCAGAACACCAGCACTTGTGTGAAGCTCTTACAAGTTTACATTCTGCAGGTTTTATGGGGAAAGTCGTCATGTTTATAGTGTAAAATGGTTTTAGTAATATTTTCTCATATTACTAGTACTTTACTAGTTATAATCTTGTCTGAAAATTTTAGACATGAGAACATGAGCACAGTACTTCATGTTTCCYGTGAGAGTTTCAACAAATTGACATTTGTGTATGACTGTACAACAGAAGGGACCAATTGTTTGTTTTGTTGCCATGATATAGCAGTTTTAAATAGTTGTCACTTAGACATATTAGAAGTTCATTGTTAAAAGATATGTTAARAGTATATTGATATCTCTCCATAAAAGAGCCATGAATTTGTTGTAGAGTTTAAAAGAAGAGATAGTGAAATTTACTTTGTTGTTTTCGATTATTTTAAGGCCCATAGTCACAAAAATGTTTTTTTTTTTTTCCAGACAAAACTGAGTGACTTAAAGTTTTGACATGAGGGGGTATCTTCCCATATCCATGTCCAGAGGAGATTTGTCATAGCTCCTGTAAGATMAAACTTGGAAAAAAAATCTGTTTGAATGAAAAGAATTGGACATGGGAGTATCTCCTTGTTTGTTTTCAGAGAGTTCTGTCTGAAAGAAGAGCTGACAATGGCACTGTAATTTCTTTTTTCTTCTGCAGTAGTTTACAAGAAGGCATATTATTCTGTTTAATGAACTGATAGCCACCTAACATTTTTCATGTTCTTATAATTCGTAGTTTTCATCATACCTTCATCTTTGGAATTACTAATAGTAACAGCTGATTAATGATAATTCCACATAGATAGTGTTTTGCTTAAATTTATTTTAAGAATACATAAAATGGAGCAATACAGAAGCATGTTTGACTGGAAGTCCTCCTTTGGGACACTGTGTATTCAAAACATTGCTACATTTTTGAAAGCACTGCTCAACAGTGCTGCAGAAATAAGTCAGGTGTTTAGTAATAATCTAAATGCATCTTTTAATAACTTAGCTTTTCTYACTCTGTCAAAAAAAGTATTAAAAAGTAGCCAAAATCAAAGACAAAGGATTCAAATGTCAGGAATGCACAGACAGTGAAATCAAGCTATCCAAAACAGAATATTACATGTATAAACTCAGCCTGCTGAGTTTTGCTCAACCTGCTGAATTTATAAATTCTTTGCTAAGCTTACAAAATCATTACGGTCTGGTTTATGGCCATGTGTTAATCAAACGAAATATCCAAAGAAATCTTTTTACAGAACACCATGTATCTTAAGGTTTTTTTCTTACAAAAAGTACATTATATTTTGACTGAYTCCAAATAATGTACTACTGTACCTTGCAAGAAATAGTCTATTTGAGTAAGAGAGAACTTTGAAATGTAGCAATGGAATTTTGATTATTTAGCTTCAGCAAAAACAGAATTCGGCAGTCGCATCTATATATGYGGTCTACTATACTAAAAATTTTGGTTCTTGTTGGTTACATGTTGTCTGAATGGTATGTTTATGCTGATTATATGACATCATTATTGGCAGTACATGAGATGTGTGGAAAATGTATCATGAAACCTTCAATTCTAGAGTGAGGGCAAAAAAAATTATGGTGCAGGAGTTGACAGGCATTCTTAGAGGCTTTTATGGCATGCAGTTGATTACAGCACATAGAACATCAGTCCCTCTATTGAACCATTTTTGCCTTTGTTCCATCTATTCAGAAGAAATGATTAGGCAGTATCTATAGTACTGGAGAAAACACTAAATTTTTTTATATATCACAGCATAGCTCAGGGAAATGTGGAAAGTAATTTCCTGAAAAATTGCTAGCYAGTCATCTGTAATTGTCTCCTACCACCACAATACCCTTTTGAGAAAGTACCGCCTAGGAGCACTTAAGATATTGAAGTATGTTTTAGGGAATCAGAGATCGATTTGAACCATCRAAGTCAAATGTATGACTGATATTCAATATAGCCTCTACAGTGGTGAATTTATGGCTATTTAGAAACTTTCTCACTGACCACTAGCAACTGTAAGTGGGAATTAAAACAGGCAATGTGATTCAGTTGCTCTCTTCTACAGTACAAAAACATATTGTACAAGAGAATGAGGTCTGCCACTCTGTGTCAACGCTATTTCAAATATAATTTGGTGGTTTTTAGAGAGCTGACTGAAAAATTCTGGTGTTTYGTCACCAGGATCAGAAGAGCTAGAGGAATTAATTTCTGTCTGGAAGCATTTTTAACTGGATTTTCCTTGAAATTTTAATTGGAAGAGAATTTATCACTGCAGGGTTTTTGGTAGGAAGGTCTACAATACTGTCCATTTGTTAAGACACTTGATTGTTGTCATATCATAAGAGTGAATACAGTTTTAAGTCTTTTTTTATGTGCCATTTTGAAGTGTTCTAAGTTTAGAAGACCAAAGCAGACAGGAGCAAGTGTTCACTTAAATTCTTTCTGAAGCCTGAACTTACGGAAATTTAACTGGCAGCACGGCTTGATGCATTGAGATRGTCTTGAGCCTATATTTTTCTTTAATGCTTATATAATGAAACTATTGGAAATAGTCCTGCCTTTGTTAAATAATTTGCTCTCTTATTTATAGTAATAAGAAGGGTTTAAATTAGAAATGAGCTGTTAGTAACAGGGAATATTTTTTTTTAAGTGATAGGGCTTGCAATGCAAAATTTGGATGTTTATTTGCTCTTCTGTGGTTTGAGAACAACACTGCAGTAAGATCTTATGCATGAAAATGCATGTGGTGATAGCTGCCTTGTCTTGATATAGTTGTTCTCAAGGTGAAGGTGTTCCAAACGTGAGTCTCGATCTTCCTCCTCTTCACTGTTGTCATCGTCATCATCATCCATGGCATGAGTCCTGCAGATCCGTTCTGGAGGGATTGTCCTGTGGTATAGTAGGAGGAATTTTAATTACTAAGGATAACTCACAACTTCACAGTTAATTTCCCAGATACTTTCTATTAAGAGAAAAGCAATTTTTTTCTAAGTAATATGTTTTGAAGATACATATATTACTCTTTTTTTAATGTCTCTCCTTGCATTGTTTTATCATATATTTAGTTTTTCTGAGGAAAATACTGGCCAATGTTGAATGAAATTTCTTCTATATAGCATACATAATCAGWTCAATTGCTTCTTTGTTCTGTAGACTGTACAAATCAGAGAAAGAGGGTGCCTAACTTAGCAGGTCTGGCATGATTTGATCACCTTGTGTCTCTGCTGYTTTGTAATGGTGATGAAAAACATGATATTTAAAATGTTGTCTCAAGTGATTCTTGTTTGACTAAATAATCTGGAAAGGCTTTTTCAGTGGCTATGAACAGCTGAAGTCTAATAAGTCTATTGTAACCAATACATAATAAGTGTCTAATAAGTACAATAATAAGTGTCTAATAAGTACAATAAGTCTATTGTAACCAATTTGGTCTTTAATATAAGAGCAGGAAAATCTGGTGCTTTGCTGTAACTATCAAATTTAGCTGCCAATGGATATATGGCCCAAGCTGTATTACAGAGTCATTTTCTGGAGAGAACTGTTGCTCAGGACCTTTGTGTGCATTTTCAAGACGGCTGAGAGAGGTGAAAGCACAGTTTGCTTTTCTCTGGTTATGTAACTCTCAGAAAAGAGCAGTAGAAAACTCAGAATTAGTTCCTCTGCTTAAAAGACAGCAGTTTTTAAAGCATATCTTTTGTTATATTAATTTTACTGCCCTCATTTTAACAAAGAGCTTATAATTACCTTATTTTGTTGTTGTTCAGTCTTAGAAAATGTAATTTTTTCATTTCCGCAATTCCAAATGGCACAGACTTTAATTCGTTATGATCCAAAAACAACTCTCTCAGAGAGCGATATGCTCCAAAAAATGATATGGGATCTACTCCATCATCAGTAAGTTTGTTAAAAGACAGGTAGAGATATTCCAGCCCTGGCTTCATATGACCAAAGACGTATCCTGGAATTCTTTCAATCTGATTTCCTATGAGTACCAGGTGTAGTAAAGATTTAGGCAGATATGAGGGAACGTGATATAACTTATTATAAGAGAGATCGATTGACTCCAAGTTCCTGTGGTAATGGAGAAAAATAAATGGAATGAGAACAATGTAATGTACTGCACTATTAATGTTACGTTTGTACAAAATAGCACTGAAGGTGATTACAAGGAATGTAGTTTTCCAGGGAAAATTTTTTCTGTTTATGGAAGAGAGCACAAGATCTCCAAATTGGGAAATGGAGGGGGACTGCAACTGCTCTGCCGCCTGCCAGCCTATGGCAAGGTACCCGGGCGAGTTTAGCAAATGACCTATGTACTGCGTATGCTTTAAGTATTGAAATTTTAGAGAATTGGTTTTGTATACAAGAGTGATTTGGGATTGTTCTCTTAGCTTAGACTTACTTATAGCCTCGGTTCAGCAATTTCTGCTGTTTCTGCAGTATGGCACACCTCTAAATTTCAGACTGTTGAAGACTGCGTTTAGCTARTTGGCTTATGCAACCCAGGAAACCTTTTGTACATATTGTGTTGCATGCAACAATCACAGTGTAAACTGTCTGTCAAACTACTTAATCTAGCCTGTGTCATCAGCACTGTTTCTAAAGCTTCAAACAAACAAATTGGCAGAGGAGACAAGTGGCGAAAGCGTGTTGGGYAGCTCTGTTACAGATGAGCGTTTCTGTGGTCAGCGTAGGTTGGGTTTACGAGAGGAAGAATTGAAAGCCTATAGCCTTTTTCTCCTTTCATTTCTATTGCCTGTRCCAGTGTTTCCACTTGGGCTGCACAGTCTTCCTGTCAGATCATTAACTTATGCAATTAAATTGTCTTATTTTTAGTAGTTTTTTGCTTTCATTAACTTCCTTATCAATAATATAGAGAAAAAAATCATGTTTTTAATAATTGATACTTACTCTTGGTTTATCCAAGCCAAAGGTGCTATTCTATTTTCTTCTAATTTGTTATGCTTTAGCACAATGACATTTATGTTTCTTGTATGGTTAAAACAAATTTCTGATACTTCTTCTATTTGATTATTTTCAAGGTATAACTCCTACAAGGGCAAAGAAACTTTGTGAAAGCAAATACGTTGTTATTCCTATTGCAAAATAAGGATGCAGTTATTAACTGTCATTCATATTACATGACAAAGTTGTTAAATTTATACATAAAGAAGTTAGAGGCTGAATCAGAGTCAATTTGTAGCTCTAATATGACTTTCAGAATCACCATTTTTCAATGGAAGTGAGATGTGAAGTAAAATAAAAGTGGCTGAAAATAGGTATCTTAGATAAATCAGCAGTCAGAGGGGGAAAATAAACAACCCTTAATAGTAATACAATAAATTAWTTTTTTGTTTGCTATAAGAATAGATAATAGTGGTGTGCATCTTCAAAAACTCCTCTTCCTGTTCGCAAAGCAGGGTTAATTATAATTACATTATTCCTGGGAGAAGTTTCTTTAACATATTCCTAAAAAAAACAATTATTTTAACCAGTCAACATAGGAAGTAATTTCTACTTCTATTTGCAATTTTAAAAAACTTTTTACATATTTGAAATTGTTGCCAGTATTTCCTTTAATTCCTTCTGTTCCACACTAGAAAAATCTTAGTTCCTTTAGTCTTTCCGCATGAGTCATTTTTTCTAGAGCTCTGAATATACTTGATGCTGAGCTGTAAAGTTTCTAGCAGTAATAATTTAGTAGTAATAAATAGTTTWAAAARAAATGTCTGAAATATAGCTTGTTCCTTTTTTTCCTTTTCTTTGCCTTTTTATTTTCTTTTTTTACCTGAATAGAAGTGGGAAGGCCTTGTGGGATAATTCTAAATTTATTTCTCCCCAGTCGTAAATAAGAGAGACTTTTTAAAGGAAAGAAGGCCCAAGGACTGACATTTGCTTCACTAAGTTTATTTCCTTCTAATTCCAAGGTGACTAAGTTCTTTAAATCTGAGGAGAAAAAGTTGGAAGATCAATTGATTAATGCTGTCTTATCTTACTAAAACACATCRCATTTAAAATTTAACCATTTAACTTCACAAAATTCTGTTCACAGCAATTAAAATGTTTTTCTAAACAGATTTTAAATTATAGTGCAATAGCCATAGTGTTGCATTTATTAGTWTTTATTTATGCATTTATTAGTATTTATGCATTAGTATTTTATTTATGCCTTTGTTAGTATTTTATTTATTAGTATTTAGTGGAATTTGAGAGATTTACAGATAGTAGTTCTTTATACTCTACTGTTCAGAAGAGGAAAGAAGGCAGCTCCAAGACTTGTGGATAGTGCTGCCCTACCTTACCTTGTAAGGTGTCTTCATCAATGGCATGAAGGCGGTTGTCGTTTATTTTTATTTCTTCCAAAGTTGACGGTAATTCAGAGGGAATATGTACCAGCATGTTTCCATCCAAATACAAGCGTTTTAGCTTTTTTAGGATCTTAATAGGGTTAAAATACACAGTTAAAAGTATAGTGTGGTTTATTAAACATACTCATTTTGAGGATGTTGCATTTTTGGCAGCAGTGTAGTCGCTTTGTTTGTTTGAATAAGAAAATGCTTTTTGCCTATTGGTCTGTTTTTGTTTTCCTTAYGCTAGCTGTTAACAAAGGTGCCAGTCATGCTAGTGTGTATTTGATGTAATGTTTCTTCTAAAGAACATGGCTGAACACATCGACTTTTCAATTTGGCTGTCCTGCAGCAATTCTAATTATAAGCATCTATATTTCTTCTCCTAACTTGGACTGATGTATGTGTCACCTGTGACTATAGATGATAAATTCTGGATGATAAAAGCATAAGCTTTCCAGAATTAATGTAGTGACCAAAAAAAAAAAAAAAACGCAGACATGAATATATAGGATGTTATTCATAGAATATGAAACTCTTCTAACGTTTCTAAACTGCAACTGATTACATATCAACACAAAATTGTTTTTCACATGTAGTTATTTGGCAGTTAATACTTAGCAAATGTTATTCAAGTTCTTCTAGGGGTTACTCATAGCAGATGCAAACAGTTTTAGATCCAATGACTGAAAATCTGTTTCTCAGCTGTGAACAAATTCTTAACTTCAAACGAGAAATAATCATAGAATAGTAGGAAAAAAAAACTTCTTACTTTGAATGCTTGTGGACTTATGCCAGAAGAGGTAAGATTATTCTTACTCAGGTCAATCCATTCCAGATTAGGTATGCCATTGAATGCTTCATCTGGGATGGTAGTGATACTATTTCCTAGGGCAGAGTTCAGGACAAGGTTTGATTTATAACTTACAGTATGTATCTGAGGTGTGTAGTATTGTACATGAAAAACATGAGGATAGTTGTATTATAAATAGTAACTGAGTACAGTCGTATTTGTTGTCTTTCAGACTTAGCTGTAAAATTCATTCTAACATATTTCTATGATAAAAAAAACTACGCTCTGTTAATGTTAAGTTTGATTTGATTTCAGAAGGGGTAGTATTAATTGATGAACATAAAATAATGTTTACTTACCGGTGAGGTCCAGGCTTGTTAGATCTGGATCTGAAATTGGTGGTATTTGTGTAAGTTTGGCATTAATACAGCTTATTGCAGTGTCCAAGGTGGAACATGCGGACGGCAAAGGTGTTTCTATGGGAGGAAGAGGAATTGGGAAATGAGGTGGCACTCTGAAAGTGTTACTTCTTAACACATGTACACTGTTGTCATCTTCATTGCTTTCATGATGCCTTTCATGTTCCATAACTTTCTCTCTTATTCTTTCTTTATCCATTTTATTTATTTCTTCTTTTTGTAGCTCTTCATATGATGACCTTCTTTCTTCATGATTTCCCCYGATAAGCGTCTCCTTATTGTGATAAGGTTTTTGTCGATTTTTTTTGCCTTTCCGTTTTCTTTTCTTTTCATCCATTTTAAGAATCTCTTTCTCTTCAGTCTCTACCTCCTCTGCTCTAATCACTACATCCTTTCCACCTTTGGTGTGGGCTGATGTCCGTATAACAACTTCACCGAGGTCCTTTGGTTCAGAAGAATCACCAGACTGCTCAGGTAGGTCATCCATTGAAATAATACTTGAATCCAAAGAAGAAGCTGACCAGGATAATGAGAACAAGGAAAACTTTCTGATAAGAGGGTATGAATCTCAACTTTGTTTCAGTAAACATTATTCATATATAGAGTAAAATTCTGTAACTATAGAAGACTGTTCCCCTTAGGATATGATTTGAGAGACCAAAAGCCTGGTCTTAGTAGAAAAGCTCAGGAGAAAATTCRGACTTTGAAAGACTGACAAATGACTGAGCCAAAGAGGAAAAAGAAAGGCAAAAACTGAAGGTACCTCTAGTTGACATTTTAAAGAACAAGTACATCTGACTGCTCTTATGTCCTAATTCAGGACTTGTATTCCCTATACAAGGGTAGTGTCTACCTTGTAATCCTTAATATTACTTAACTGCAGCTTTTACATAAGGTTCTATGTGAGGCAGAATAGTAAAAATATTACACCCTACTGTACCAGTATCAGAGCAAACTGGGCAGCATTCTCCTTCAGGTATAATGGTGGTGCGGCATTGCAGAGGATGGCACATGGTTTTATCACACAGCACTTGTCCTTTGGAACAGAGGCAAGTGATGCAGGGCTTAGGGGACCACACAGCTTTATCGTACATGATCATGCCATTGGCTATGCAGTGCCCCTGCTTTCCTGAGAAAAAGAAATTACAAATTAGACTGACATAGCTTAAACCAAAATAAAACCATAGTGTTTATTAAACCTTTGAGAAGGTTTAATAGAAGAACCACAACTGGTATGTTTTTATTTTGAAAACATAACCTGCTCTAAGTTTAATTCTCAGCCTTTCAGCTGTGAAGTTGATCAAAGGAAAAGTGCTGGATTAATGTATATGTAACTGTTACCCTATTACAGTGTTGTAATGAAAACTGAGTGCAAGTTCAGTGAAGGTCCATCTGTCTCAGGCAATTGTCAAAATAGTTACTTTGTAGGAGTACCTGGAGGAGAGGTACTTTGTACCTCTCACAAGCAAACTGCTGAGGACCCTGCTTTATCTCATGAAAAAAAAAAAAAAACTCTTAAATTTTTCAAATTCTGAAGTTTTCTTAACAGGGAAAATTAAATTTAGAAAGTGATTTTCTGAGAGTCTCCTGCAGGGCAGCTCCTCTGTTCCTCTCTATGCTTAGATATGGCAAGCAGATATCAGAGCTCAACAAAAGCTGAATATCAATTCAGAAGCAAAATTCTTCTTTCAAATTAGGCTAAAATGAATCATACGGAACTAAAGGATCATTTTTATGCCCTTTCCCTTCTGATTTTTGTCTGTGGTAAAKTGACGCCTTTCCTGATATCTTGCACACTAAATCGGGAAGTTTTGCTAAGGCTTTGTGGAAGTGGGATCTTTCAATACTCAGAGAACCCATCTTTTAAGTTACTTTTTACTTTCTTCTGAATAAGTAGAGATTTTCTTCTTTTCCTAGGAGTTGTTTGGGTTTCTTCTCCGTCAATATAATGATTGAATAATGCTATGGAAAATATTTTATCTCAATTGAATTCACAAAGAAGCCTTCATTTGAGACAGAGGAATTGTCTTTGGACAATTATTTTTAAATAGAAGAATATACATATCTAGGATATCCTCTAAATATCCTGACAAGACTACTGTAAAAGAATTGCCATGAACAGCAGTTTGTCTGTGAAAATAATATTTTAATTCAATCCTGTTTTGCAAAATCCCTCATAGAAACCCTACTTTCAGCTTCATCCTAAGGCTGCTCATTTGCCTATCCACTTAAAAACCTTTTGACATGAGCTTGTTTCCTAGAATAGAATTAGAATCATCCTGTCTGCATGCTCTATATTACTTAAATTTTAAAAGTTGCTCTTTAAATTTACCATTAAGATGGCAAGATAAGTTTTTTTTGAATAGTTGCATTTTGTTATTTTTTTCAAAGGCAAGTTAGTCCACGATATGTATAATTTCAGCAGAATAAGATTGTGCTCTAAGCCACTTGAGTTGTTAGCAATAGCGGGAGATGAGCTGTTTGGCTATGAGAGCCTTTTTGCTCTATCCGGGTATCTTTAATCCAGCTGTTTCCTGGACACTCATTAAGATCCTGGCTTTGATTTTTTTATGTACTTGCCAAGCAGTTGCTGTATATGTTTTCAAATAATCTCCAAAGGGGAAAAAGCTACATTTTCTCATGTTTAACAATAAAACGTCAAGAGGAGGGATATATTTAGCTTAAAATGGAAATGTGTCTGTGCTTTCCTCAAATTCTTTACTTTGAGTCAGCTACTGGACTAGATCTAAGTGGTTGCAAATCATGGATAAGAAGGATAAAGATTTGGGTTATCAGGACTTGGCCTCTCTAAACTTCTGTAGCAAACTGTGCTGCTTGCTCTGTACATGAGAGTTACTTAAGAGACAGGGCATGGCTATTTGTGTGTGCGCAAGGAGAGAGATTAATAATAGTGGTCAATTATTTAATAGGTTCTGTTTTTCCAAATCTGACATGAACTTACAAAAATTTTGAACTTTAAGAGCTAGACTGAAAAATACCTTGTGGTCGAAGTCTTTGGCAGATGAGCATAGGACTTTTAACCTTTGGAAATATGGTGTAAATCTAGCATTAGGTTCCAAATAAAATGAGTTCAGTGGTTTTAGCTCAACTTTTGGATGCAAGTCCAGATAGAAAGAAACAAAGTGGGAGGGAGGGAACCATGCATTATTTCAGCATGACTGATGGTGTCTGACGGAGAGACTGGAATATGTTACATAAAGTCTATGCTATTTATGTGGTATTTTCCTCTGTTTAATATAGAAATTACTTTTAAATGAAAAGCTTAACATCAGCAATAATATGAGAGAATATTGTATTTCATGCTAGAAGTGCAATAGTCCAGAGTTTCTTTTACCCATTTAGAGTRGTAACTAAAAAAATACTTGATTTGAATCGGTTCATGCTTTCTCAAAATAAGAACATTAAACAAATAATAATTCTTAAGAAAATGTGACTAACTGATGTTCTGCTAGTTGAGACCTATTCATCCAGGGAACTATATCTATATCGTGGCACAATAAACCCAAGCTATTGCTTACGAAAACAAACCAAACTATTGCTTAATTGTTATAACATGTAGAAAACGAGTAGTACTTTTTAATTTTGTTCATAATTTTCATAAAATTGCATATGTTATTTTTTAGTGTGTAATCTTTGCAGTACTGGAATGAAAGCTTCCRTAATGTAATATCTATTATCTACGGAATGGACACAACCTTGTATTGGTCTTTCACAAAATCCCGGTGTCTCTTTGATTTTTGAACTTTTTTGCATGAAAAGAAYTGAAGTGTTACAATATCTCAATGTTTTTTCAAGTGGGTACCAACTGTGTTTTTGATGGTCCAAAATACTGAGAATAATTTTYAGAATTTCTTGTGTTAAGGATGAATGCTGGGTTTATATATCCTTGTGAGTCTCAAAACTATTTGTGACTCCTCATTTCCCACTTGCAAAGCAAAATCAAAACCATAAGGGTCRTAGGGCAGGAGCGCTCTCTTGCCTTATAGCTCTCAGAACCAAAGAGACACTTAACAACAATCACTGTTAGTCCTTTTCTAGTCTAGCCTTCTTCGAGAAAAGTGTAGAGAGACTGTAGAGAGTCCTGTTATGGTTATGTCAGGTTTCAGTAAAGATCAATATGGAATAATGCATTTTCTATTTGTTTCCTAAGACACCAAATCCTCTCCCTCTGTTTTTCCTTTAATAAGTAAAAAATAAATAAATAAAAATTAACAAGAGTGCAGTGGTGCMAAAATCTCTAGATCTCTGCATAGTCAAGTTTTATGTAAATTATACTATTTGGCCTCCTTAAACAATAGAGCAATCTTGTGGTAAATGTGTGAATGTGCAAACAACAACAAAAATTTTCTTATGTTAGCTTAGTTTTTCTATTGCCAGCATGTCTTAAGGAAGGTTTCATATTCTAGCTACTATCGTGTGATTTTTTTTTAGTAAATCAAAAGAATTATTCCACAAATATTGCATATAGTTTCTAGTTTCTGTTGCTTTTAAAAGATAYGTTGAATATTACTGATTTATTGATGTTATGTTGGTTGTTAGGAGGTTGGAGGTGCGATGAAATGCTACTAATTTACTTAGGAGAAAATACTGAGAAAYAACTCTTAGAATTGGCCTTCAAACTGCCTGGGCATTTGAAACTATGAAAATACTACCCCAGCAAATTTCTATTAGTTATAATAAAATGAGAATTGGAAAAATTGTGGAATATAATTACGTGGCAAGATGCAATTCTCTATAGTTTTTAAATATGGACTTTAAAAATGTTTCATATGCTAAACAAAATTATCATAAATCGCAGCAAAATTTAGCAGAGTAAAAACATAATGGAGTTTTATTCCAGTATCTGTTGCAAGTAGGGCTGAAATTAATCTTTTTGCCATTTTATAAATTGCATAAGGAGTTACTAGCAGGCTAAGGGGTTTATTCTTACCTGGTAAGACATTGTAACTAGATTCTTGTCCACCCAAACCTACGAGAGAGTCGAATACTCCCATAACTCCGTCGTCGATGTTAATGAGAGGAATGCTGGGCACGACAGGGCTTGGAGCGGGAAGCCTCATTCTCAGCTGCTTGGGAGACCTGTGTCTTGTGCCCCCGTAGTGCATCCTTCTCCTCTGCCTCCTAAGGGCTGCGCTGGCTCCATCTTGAAGAAAATGAATACACAGAGAGACGAGGAGGAAATAATAGAGGAAGGATGTAGCCTCCATCCTTTTGTGTCTCTCGGAAACTGTCCTGCAAGAGGTAGAGAGGAGGAAATAGATATGTAGAGAGCTTCTTGTGTCAAAGCAGTTACATACGGTACACTTGCTAAAGCAGATGGACCAATATCTTACTATATCCAYCTGGTTGGAAACGAGAACTTGCTTAAGACTAGTTCAAAACAGATCAGTTAAGCAAGTTTTGTTGTCTTTGCGGGGCGGTGGGGGGGAATACSCTGAGAGAGCTCACCAAGCAATTCCAGTTTCATGCATCTTTTCCCTGGTAGCCAAATGAAAATATGTCTCTGGATAGAAGGTTATTTTATTGACTGGCCACTGAATGAGTGAAATTGAATTTAGGAGTTTGTTTTTCAGTCCAAATTAGTTGTTCATTTAAAGAGGGACTAGCTGGGGCTGCCTTCAAACAGATAGGGTAGCTGTGCCACTAGGTAATTGCAGCYGAGTAGTCAGGGTTGCTTCTGGCAAGGGAGTTCCTGGGAGCTGCTTCCTTTTTCTGATCCCTAATGCATCTTCTAGGTTGCTGTGACTGCTGAAGGTGGAAACGCAAAGTCTCGGAAACCAGACAATTCCTTTCCAGATGTTCTGCCTCCAAACCTTTTGGTTTGTCATTTCTGTGCAAGACATTTTTCACTGGAGATGAAAAAGGATTTTGTTTTGCTCCCAGAGGAGCCATTCACACATGTTCACAGAATCTTTTTAGTGAACKTGAGTGAATTTAGTGAATAGGAGGCTTGATTGCAGCAGTGTTATTTCTGATGCACCACATGCATGTTGCTAGGGGAGGTGTCTAAGAGTACGAAATCTGTAACAGGTTGTGTTCTATGTTTGCTTGCTAAGAGATTCAAAATTACCGTATAATCTTGAGCTTCAGAGAGGAAGATTACCTCTCCTGTCGCCGATAGATGGCATTGGACACCAGGGCAGCAGGGGTGAGCACCCAGCACCTCCAGTCTGCTGTGCCAGGCACATGCCAGGCTGGGCATGTCCAAAGTCACTCATAAATGGTCGCAGTTGTTTCAGAAAGAAGCCAACAGACATTTGAATTGCTTTTGTTCTGCAGCCCATTTAACTGGGATTGTGGGGACTGTGAGGGTACTGGTATCCTTGTGATGTTGAGAAATGGCTCTCTCCAGTGAGAGCTTAATGCTTAGAGCTCTTCGTCTCTGTGCCCAAGTTTATGCTGAAAGCAAGTCCATGGCTTTTCTCTAAGGAAGTCTTGAGGGAGTTTAAGACTGCTTTTCTGTAATATTTATCAACCAGGCTTTATAATGTAGTCTTTCTCTTTGGAGCAAGTCTTCTATATTCCTTATGTTGTATAAATAGAGTATAGGATTGCTTGAGGTACTAGAACTACGTTATTGTCTGAACCAATTTTTGAAAATGTGTATATTACCTTGTTGCTTTCTTGTAGCAAAGATGTCACCTATTATATAACAAGTTGCCGAATTTTCCTCTGTCGTAATGTCTGATGTAATAGTAACAGGCTTGTGAAAATAATCTGTGACTGGGTATATGCATATTCCTTTCTATCCATTGGACAGCCATTATCCAAAATGCTATACAGACTATATACTGTCTTATTTACAGAAATTCAAGTTAGCTAACATAGCGGAGAGATGTGGGAGCCGCCTGTACTTTGATGTTTGTTCTTTTTCGGAAAGAAGGCTTGTTTCTTAGTACCTCATTTTGCAGGAAAAGTGACCTAATGTTTCTAACTTGTATATAGTAGCGACTGGCTATAAAATTTGTGAGGCAAACTCCTGCTTTGTGTGTTGTAATGAAATGTGCCAAGAGGCTGCCGGGAAGACAATGCATGAGAAAAGTCGTGACCACATGTACACCTTCTGATAAACTAGGGACAACCTAGCTATGGTTACATTTTTGCACACTTTGTAGTGCTGTGGCTGCAATATCTAAACTACTTCTAAATTGTATAGGAGTGAGTTTGTTTAGCATTTAATCATGTACTCCTGCCACAAGAGGCACATATATCATACAGAATCCAGGGAAAATACTTTTGCATTCTTCAGGCATGCTTCTTTAAAAGTCAAAATTAATATAGTATGAACTACGTTACATTTACTGTACAAACATGCCTCAGTATTTTGCCATTAACTTCAACAGAAAAATGTAGAACTCTCTCAAATCCAGTTATTGTAAAGTAGAACTTGTTTTCATAAAATATACTTACAAATCTAGGAAGAAAACACCATCTGCAAAAAAAAGAATGTGTYTGTAAGCCATATTCTATATGTGAGTGTATATTCTATACTTTCACATCAAGTATATTAAGACTTAAGTACTGAAAGCCTCCTGTTGCTGCTTTCCTCCAAAGGGTGCCCTTTGCATGCACAACCCTGCGATTCTTTTCCAAGTTTCKTTTCTTGGCTTGTTTACTCAGAGGCTCACCTTTTAAAACACCCAAAGCGTGAATGTTTTGCAGGAAAATGGCCTTAAGATATTAGGTCTTTTGTGCCCATGACTAGAATCCTCAGTTTAAGCCCTCAGGAAGTTTCTTTATTTAGTATAGTGCCAGACAACTTTTAAATCTTAGCAAATTAAAGTGATTTGACTTCAGAGGCTTATAATAAGTCATTGTCTGTCATAATAAACCTATTGGTAGCTAATATATTGAAAATACTGTGTTGCCAGATAATCTTAATATGACTGCATTGCTATGGCTTTTTTTACATATTTTGCATATCTAGAACATGCAAAATATAGCAGCATTCTTATAACCTTACTGTGAGCATGTAGTGTGTTCATTGCTTTGTAATTTTCATAATGTTCCACGTCTGTCATTCTGCTATTTGCTACTATAATGCAAAGTGTTGTTTTTTTAAAGTAGTGATCCTTTAACAAATACCTAGTATATCAGAATTTATTAAATAATCTATATTCAGTTTAAATGCAATTATTTCAAGATCTCAGGTCCTTTCTCATGATACATAGGGATTAAAATGATTTATCAATATTTTCACATACTCTTCTATAAATTGTTTGCATAGAAGTAAGTTACATTTAGCCATAACAATAAAATAATTGCACTTTCAGTTTAAGCATGAAGTGTGTGGCAGACATTCATATCAAACAAGAAGCAGATCAACTGGTACTGCATACTTTCTCTACAAAAGCATTTATGTTCAGTTTTGCTAAAAATAGCACGTATTACTTCGTACATATTTACAAAGTATCAAACGGTCACTGTTAACATGTAGTTTAAGCCATTCAACACCATGCTTTAAGCAGTAATTTAAAATCAAAATGTATTTTACCTTGTGATCTAACCTAACAGCAGATTCTGCTTGGTGTCATTTAGTCTCCAGTTGCAAATGAAACAAAAGCACACTGGTATCTTTAAAACAAAGAGAGGAACAGTAGGGGTTGTTGAAACATGCTAGATGATTCCTTAGTTAAGTCTGAAATAGCTTCTTTCCCTGGGGACAAAGCGCTGCTCTGTTCTGTGCGCTGGGAAGCGGCTAATGCTGTTTCTTGGAGAGCTAGAAAGGAGGAYGAGAAGCAGCACAGTGTGCTCGGTCCGTGGGCTGACAAGGCACAGCTGGAAATTCCCTGCCAGGGCTTACAGTTACATAAGAAGCAAGGAAATGGACCGTTTGCCAAAGAGCTCAAAACTATGTATTTTTTTCAGTTCTCCTTCACCTATTTAGAAGTCAGTTTCCACATAGCATGGTTTCCAGATAGATTTATTGTTTTGCATAGATAACATATGTTGAAAGTGTAATCTTAGCATATTTTTTTAATTAAAATTAGAACACTTTTCTTGAATTCATATTTTCTTAATGTCTGTCTATCCTATAATCCATAAGAAACAAACCTTCTTTACTGAGGTTTTAGTATGAGATTTTCTTTTCTTCTCCCTTTGCAGCAATGATCCTACTTGTAGCTAATGCATGGAAAATAAAATCACTGAGGCATTTGCCTTTCATTTTTTTGCAAGGGTAATTACATACTGAAACCCGATCCCGAAACGCAGCTTTCCAGAAGCAGCAGCGAATCCTGTAATCCGAGTAGGGAAACTGAGCATGGGGGGAGGAAGGGGAGTCACGGTACCTTGCCACAAGTCCTACGGGTGTCTTTTTCATTCATCCTCATCCATCCAGGAGTTTCTGTGGAGTCTCATAGTGTGATGAGGCAGCAAGTCTGCTGAGTTTCAGAAGTGACAAATTTACCTGGTAGTTGGAGTTGTCTGAGTTTTTGACGTTTAAATTTTCTTGTTGGCCTGCAGTAACTCTCCAAGGAATGTCTAGGCAGAYAGTTATGGGCTGTGTAACTGTGGAGTTGACCATAATTGTTAGTTTGAATGTGGTGGAAAGATATTGGGAAAAGCCATTGTCTCTTAAAATAGTTACTTGGTTTCTATTGTACTTTGCAGAGTCAAGACTAGAAATACTAACATTTTGCAATGTATCTGGAGCTGTTTAAAAAAGAAAAGGCAGATGGTTATACTCAACAAACAGCTTGTATCTTAACAAATGGAGCTTGCATCTGGAACTGAGTAGGTACTGATTGATGCACTTCCTGTGAAAAAAGATGTGATTTGTGAAGAGCAGAGAGAGTCCAGTAACAGGACAGCAGTTGTTCTGTTGGAAGTGGAAGAAAAGATTGCACATTAGTTTTTTGGTTTTTTTTCCTTGGTTACATTTGTCAGGTAACTTTATGTGTTTAAATTATACCATGTCCTTTAGAGACAAAAGCAATAGTAGCATTCACTTCACCGTATTTTTAGGCATTGCTTTTCATGCCTCTGATCATTGTCTGAGGATCATCTTCTGATRTTTTTAGGCATATAGGCATATAGCTGCGGAAGGTCTGGCTGACTAGACCACAGAATTGCCTAATGGGCCCATATGATGGATATGGCCAGTCTTTGCTGAGGGGAAGCTTTGTTTAAGGCATGTTTGCTGCCTTGTGCCATCCCTGATTCCTGAATTCTACTAAATCCTTAAATACCTAAATTCCTTAAAACTGGAAATGCTAAAAAAGTTTAGTTTATATTATCTCTTTTTTTTTTTTTTTTTTTTTTGAAAGGCCTATGGCTTCCAGTGGTTTTGCGGAACTTAAGGGAACACCATCCTACTTACCTGCTAGACCTTTAGGTAAGGACGTGAGCTAAGGATGCTGGAGATCAAGGGAGCTGGCAGGACTGTTGCAGCTGTGGCTTTGGTCGTGTGCTATTGTGCAGCATTGTAATGCCTGCTGAAACCACCAATGATTTAACTTGAAATACCTTCCTGCCACAGTTCAGGAAGTGATTTGTGAGGAATTTGGGTGCTGGTGTGTCTGTGGGCTAGAAATCTGATGGTGGTTTTGTCACCTGATCAAGTTGTCTTGCCTGCAAGTCAGTCCTGAAGTCCCACATTCTACGTGTGGGATTTGTTTCGTAGAAAAAAAAAAATAAAATTCAAATACCATTTATTTTTGTTTTGTTTATGAATTTAAAAGAAAAAAAGGAAGTATTGAAAAATTACAGTAGCAATTTCTTAGTCTTTGAGTAAAATAAATGAATGTAAATAAATCTTTAAATTATTGGTTATCATGATGACTCCGTGCACTTGATGGTTGGTTTTGGTCAGAAAAAAAGATGGAATCCTAAGCTATGGAATTGCTGGTTTGGATTTTTTTTTGGTAAAACTTTCAAGTCTATAGTTTAAAAAATAGCAATAGGGAAAAAACACATACTTATTAAAGTCAGCATAAAACATAAGATGGGGAACTTGGGATTGGCAGCATTCTGTGTTTCTAAAAACTATAGCAGTTACTCCATTCTCTTTTGTAATCAGTGGTCACTAATATCCTTAAGGAAAAAACATGGGAGAAGGAAAAAATGTTGTAGGGAAACCTTAAGAAAAATTGAAAAGAGATTTTTCTTGCATATTAAAACTATTAGTGTTACATTACACAAAAGGATTGATTACTTGCATAGCTGGGATTAAACTTGCGATGTGAGATGGATRCAAATAAGATGTATTTACCTAAAATAATTACTTTCCAACTATATCTGTATCCCAATTCCAATGTTTACATTYAGCATTACAGCAACATTCTTATTTGGAGATGTGTTTTCTTCACCTTGCATCTAAAGTGCATCTAAAGAAAAGAAGAGAGAGAGGTAGAAGTAATTTGCAAACCCTTCCTTTCTCTGGCAGATATATTTTTGTGATCTTTAGGCAGGGCAGATTCTACCTTCCCCTGTTTTTTTCCTAAATGCAGATCATGCACAGCTGATAAGGTTTTGTCCATTTCTATTTGCTGCTGCTTTTAGTGTTTTACATGTCTACCTTACTAATTGTATTCATCAAACTTAACTTGCATGCTTTCAGCTGAATATTTGTAGTAACTGCAGGAGGTGCATATAGGTAGAAATAGTATCTAAGAGAAGCAGCCAGATGTGATTTAACAGTTGGTGTTTCCCATTTCCTACCTCGATATGTGTGTATCAGAGAAGAAAATTAGTAGAATTTCGATTGCTTCATTGATTGTCTTAAGCCTGTTTCCTCTAGCAAGCTCCAATGCAAGTTATCTTCTTAGCTTGAATAAGTTTAAGTTTTAAACATGGGCTGTTGTAAGTAAACATATATTTTCATTGTACTTATGTCTTTCCTTTCAAACAGTATCACTTTTTCAGGTTCAGATGCTGATATCTCCTACTGTATTGAACAGTTATACTTTAGCTATTTTCTGGCATGTGGTTTTCCRAAATATTCAGCTTAGCTGCTGATCATGACTTTTGCATGCATAAATAGCATCATGATTTTCTCCCCTATATGCCAGAACTCATAGGTCTCATTGGTTAACATGCTACTCATCACTATAATTGTGAGGTTCGACTTTCTCAGAAGATAATTGTATTTTTCAGCATAACTACAAAATTGTCTTTGCCACACTTTATATAATAGTTATTATGTCTAATTTCTGCTGTACTGAAACCTCTGTTGTATAAACTGAAGAATAATTATACAAATTTTGTTACATTCCTGTAAGTCCTCAGTCTCAGACTTTAACTTTGATATGTGAATATTTAAGACAATGACACTAATGGTTTTTGGACACTATAAACTTTTTTGTTCTGGGGAAAGCCCATCATGTTACCAGRATCATTCACATAAATTTAAAATTCAGTATTCGTTGCTTAGAAATACTAAGAGACTTTTTTCATCTTTTTCTTTTTGTAAGACAGAGGACTTTCTTTTCTTTTGTGAAATGTGAATGAAGGATTCAGTATTGTTCAAAAGAGGATCGGTAGGTCATAACAAGCTCCACATTTGCCAAATTTCTAGCTGATTTCAGCCTCCAGGGTTTTTATTCACATCCTGCCATTGTTTCTTGTGTTAGTTCCATTTTCTTGATTAGGCTTAGTATATATACCAGACCAAAGGGACAGTGTTTCTCTTGAGCTGTTTAAATGAACAAGACACAAGTAAAATTAAAATATAGAAGATATGTATATTTTAGACATAGAAAATTGTATGACCGTAGCTGTGTGGAAGTTTTGACAGAGTTAGACTGAGTTTAGGAATCATTGAAAATAATAATACTTGATTATTATTGATATTTGAATATTTGATTAATAATACTACTGAGTTTAGGAATCATTGAAAATAACACTTGATTATTCTAATGGTTTTTTTTCATGTTTGCCTTTCCCAAGCAACGATTTGTTTTTCACTTGCTTGATTGTGCTTTCTACTGCAGGTGAAACGTCAGGAAAGTGTATAGAAGAATAGACCAGAATTATTCTTTTATAAGTCTTTGGGTTGTTTGCTGCTTTTATATACTGTTGCTATCTTGATCTTGCATAAAAAAATCTTGGTTTGAGATCTCTTTGGGTAGACAGATTGTTAAGCTTCTGTAGCTTGCTGTTTATATCACTTTTGTTGCCTGAAATACTTTCACATTTGTTAGTTTTAATATTAAGTAGAATTTAGTAATAAGATGCCTCTCCACTGAGAGACTGTCTCAGGAAAGAGATGTAAACTGATGACACAAATATTTTGAAGCCTTTTAGTTAAAGAGAAGGATTTGTTGGCAGCTGACACCATAAGACACTTTAAGGAAAATAACAAAGTATGTTTGTGGTTTACTTCTAAAATGTAGTTGTCTTTACCAGTTGATTCATGTTTTCCCCATTACAAATAGTGACATTTCCTCCAACTGATTTGTTTGGGTGAATTACAGAAAATTGCAAATATTACAAGGGCGGCAGTTCTGTACTGCGCTGCCAGTGGGAGTTTAAGGAGAAAAAGTAACATAAATACGTATGTGTGTGTGTGTATATATATATGTGTGTGTGTGTGTGTGTATACATATCTGTATGTATATATACACATGCTTGCATATCTGATTTTAAAATTTTATTTTTAATACCATGTTGGTATTTATGATTGTGGCAATTCCAGAGGG